GCTCTTCTTGTACTGTGTTCGCACGAGAACACGACGTGCGTTCATTATTACTGCTGTATCTAGACTGAAAGTTATCCCAAATACAGCTATAATGACCGTGCGCTGTATTCGGGTGAGCACAGTAGTTGAAAGATACGTGCCAGTATAGTGATGTATGCTACCATTTTCCCGGAAATAAAACATACGGTCTTTATAGTGGTATTGGGGACAACTTTCAGTCTAGATACAGCGAAAATGAGTGCGCGACGGCGCGTTGTATTTGGGGGAAGACGGTAGGTAGCGGAGCCGGATCTGGGGGGGGCACCTTAGCCCGTCATGAACTGCGCTGGCCGAACACACGTTTTTTTTTTTTTTTTCTAACTTTTTTTAATTTTTTTTATTTTTTTTTTTTTTTGGAAAAAAGGTGTTGGCCTTGAGGTATCGTCGTCGAATTGATCGGCATCAGATGATTCGGAGTTTTTTTTATTCCATTTGTATTCGAACTCAGGTCTGTTTACCGACAGCTATATGGGTGTACCATTCAGCCACATGGCCTGCGTATGGTCCAATCCTTCTCAAATCTGGCTGTGATAGATTCAGACAGGTTCATGCACAAAATACATGCATGCTTCTCGGATCTAGCTTGATGGATGCAGACAGGTTCATGCACAAAATACATGCACGACCCTAAGGCAAAGTTGGGCGGACCAGTTTGCTGGTATCGGCTTCCCCTGCAAGCTGATGAAAAGAAAAAGCTGAGGATGTTGATCTTCGCCGATGAAAAGTCTCCGTTTTTGGCAGAGGCTTTTCGTGCCCACTACTGCTCTATTTGTGTTCTTGTGCTCATGATGGTTGTTGCCATCATGTTGGGCGTGAAGCTCTCTAGCCGCTTCCATCATTGTCGCTGCTCCTTCATATCATCGCCTCGTTGCCGCCGCCATTCAAGGTGAGTCCTTGTCCTCCTCCTCCTCGTCTCCTTCTCTTCATGATGCTCATCATGCTTTTGCATCCCCGTGATGGCATTCCTCCCAGTCCTGCTTGCCTTGCACATCCTCCTCCCCCCATCCTAGTCATCTTTCTGCATCTGCCTCATCACATCCCTCCACTCCTCCTGTTGTGTGTGTGTGTGTGTGTGTGTGTGTGTGTGAGAGAGAGAGAGAGAGAGAGAGAGAGAGAGAGAGAGAGAGGGGGGGGGGGGATTGCCATGACCAGCCTACATCCCCCACCCTCCTCCTAACTCCCATCCCCCAACCTTTCTGTGCTTCCCCTCTCCCCCTCTTCCAATCATGCCACTCCACTCCCTGAGCATGTGCCGCTTCCACCCCCTATCGTGCGTCAACCTCCCCACTCATCACATCCTGGGATGTGATGAGTGGGGAGGTTGACGCACGATAGGGGGTGGAAGCGGCACATGCTCAGGGAGTGGAGTGGCATGATTGGAAGAGGGGGAGAGGGGAAGCACAGAAAGGTTGGGGGATGGGAGTTAGGAGGAGGGTGGGGGTTGTAGTCTGGGCATGGCAATACCTCTCTCTCTCTCTCACACACACACACACACACTCGACTCCTCCTGTTGTGTGTGTGTGTGTGTGTGTGTGTGTGTGTGTGTGTGTGTGTGTGTGTGTGTGTGAGAGAGAGAGAGA